AACATTGGTGGGGGACAGCAGGCATTAAAACAGAAAAAGTTAGTGGAAATTAAAAGGAAGTTAAATTCAAGGGTATCTCTAAGGCTTCTTTCCAATCACAGCACAGACACCTGTGCCAGTCTGTTTTTCAACACACCTGAGGCCTTTCACCCTCAGTTTAACAAATTAATTGCAATGTAGAGACCTCCAGCTTATTTAATTTCTTCATAGCAGTATTTCACCCCAGTGTCTCACTTTCTGTTCATAATAATTGAATACTTTACATATTTAAGCTCAAGTCAACTTACAACTTTGTAGTCCACCAGCCTGTGTAACAGAAAAAGTCTCTTATCAATGTTTGTCGGTCAAGTAAGATATCAGTTTGTTAGGTTTTTTTTCAACATGAACTGTTTAAAGTCCAGTCTTTTCCTAACAAGGAAATTTAAGTAAAATATTATTGCTAGTGTGACTGAGCTACTAATGGAATTGCTCTGAATTCTGCTTCTTCAGGACATGACTATTGTGGCTTTGGTTCTTCTTTTAGTCCCTTGATTCAACATATTTGAATCTAACTTGGTCTTTTATGTTGGTAGAATATAAAAGGAAATATGAAATGCAATTATCATTCCATGATTATGCAATTAAGTGAAATAATTATTGTAAAATCAAAAGTCCAGAATTAAAATATGCCTTTAAATAATAATAATATAAATAATTTGTAATTGATACAAAGCCTAGTTCTGACAGCTAGAGTAGTTCTTTCTCAGTCTCCTGTAGGGCCTGTGGCAGTTTTTGTTGCCAACTTCATTAAGACAATATACATGAATTTGTTTTTATCTTGATCTTTCACTTTTTTAGTTTGTTTTGTTTTCTCAGTCACCTGTATGTAACTTAATTCCTAAAGGACAGCTTGAAAATTCTCTCTTTTAGGTATTGCCTCTCTGTTTCAGGAATTATTCAACCAATACCTAAATATCAGTTACCAATTTGGAGGTTGCAATAACGGGCACATTTTCCCCCTCTCTCTCCCTCATCCTTACAGAATGTTGTAGATACTGTCTTACTAAAAGTGTTCAGGAGCCTTCCAGAGGGAATTTGTTTATAAATGATATTGAGTGCATCACTTTGGTTACCTTCATTCTGAACAGAGCTATTTTAGCTGCATCACTTGAAAACATGAGATGGCTGAGACAATAGAACAGTAAGGGGTAACACAGATAATCTCAGACCCAGCACCAGACATGCTGCATAATATGCTTTCACTTTCTCCCACCTTTTCTCTTCCTTAAGTAGTCCTCTCTGACTGGAATCCAGCTCTATTTTTTGGTCTATTCTTTTTCCTCAATCTGAATTACTAAATTCTAAATTATATCTGAACATTTCAGTCCTATCTTGTCTCCAGTAGTGGTTAGGAAAAGCTGACAGAGGACAAGACACCATTACTATTTATTAATTTAGATATTCCTCACACCCTTAGATCTTGTGCTTGTAGACTAACAAAACACGAAGTCCTTCGCTTCTAGCGACAAAATGCAAACACTGGTATGTTAGCAGTGTTTCTCTCATAACAAATCCCAGGCTGAAAGCAAAACACAGCACTATATTAGCTACTAAAAAGAAACCCAGCTCTGTTCCAGCTAAAAACCAGGACAATAAGTCTCATTTTACACATAGTGTCTGAATTCCTAGCAGATAAGACTTCATATTCTCTCTAGTATTCTTTCCAGTATTTGTTAGCATTAACTACTGTAATTTTGGAAAGTAAGTCAGTCCTCTACCTGTCCACTATACATCTTTCCAGCTTGACTTCAGCAATTCCCAGGGGTAATAATTTAGGTTAAGTACCAAATATGCAAAGATGCTCCTTTTTTTCAATCAACTCTGTATTCACTGTCTTTTAATTCCACCAAACACCTTACTGTTTTGTTGTGGAAAACCAGCAATCTGCCTGGAAACTTTGTCATCTTAAATTTTCTATTTCTGGCTGACAAGAACTCCTAATTTTTTTTTCTTTTTCCAAGTGTATCTACCTTTCCAAAGGCTTCTGGGCAACTCTGCAGTCTGTATCCCATTATCCCCCAATATACTGAACACAGTAGGGCAGCTACAAAATAGGCGAAACTGCTGCTTTTTGCATGCATTACATTTTTAATCAGGCTCTTCAATTCTCTGCTCAGATACTTCACAAATCTACCACATATGACTTCTTCCATGATTTACAAAGGAGCACATATTCTAAGTATAGATAATAATTGCACCATTTAAATGATAATACCAAGATGTTTTGTATGGGGAGGAGATTCATGCAGGGCATTTTTACCATGAGCAGCTCTTTCATAGGGCTATCTATCCTCACACCAGATGTCAAATACAAAAAGAAATACTTTGGCATGAATAACAAAGTTCATTTGACTGAAGGATTTACCTCCTAGGAACAAGAGCCTCATAAAACATAAACACTGGGAGCAAAGTGAGCCACGTAAGGGCTTTTGCAAAAATTAAACCCATAACTTGCCACTAGAAATGGGATATTTCATCTGTTCAATAAGCACTAAAGTTCTCTTTGTTTTTATGGAATCGTAATCTTTGATTACTCTGATAAATATTTGGACTATACAAAACATTGCAATGGAACTAATCGCAGTTATAAAAAAACCTATGTGTGAAAATGAATTGGGAACGCAGCACATTTTAGAGAACTTCAAATACAGAACCACATTATTTTAACTGGTTCCTGGCCTCATTCTTTTATGTCTCCATGTACTCATTTACACCTGAGGAAAATGATTATGAATGTTGTTATGCTTGCTGGCTCTGCACAAGTATGATTAGGTAGCTGTACCAGACGTGGAATGCCAGCCTCGTTCTGTGTGACTGGATGAACCCAAACCACACAACTGAACAGTAGCAAATTTTAGCAAAAAAAAAAAAGTGTTCCTTTGTTGAGGATTAGGTTTCTCTATGCTGAAGACTATTTGTGGAATCCATGCTCTCACTCACAACAACTGTGTATGAAACAGCCTCTGTCCCAAAAGGGAGACCTTTCCTTCTCCTTCCCTTCAACTCACCCCCTATTTCCCTTTGTTTTGGTTTTATTGCTCCGAGAACAGACGGGAACATCATACTGCTGGCAGATTATGTGCATAATCTTACTCTGCACTTTGTTGAACGTTACAACTCTCTCCATACTTATTGCAGTACTTCGAATGCATGTAAGGCTGCAGAAAGGCTCTAGACATGTCTCTATTGTTTCACAGTGTAAAGACTATTCCAGGCTACTTTTTCTTTTACAGCAGGAGAGGGAATCCCTCTGTCATCCTGAGCACCACCCACCATTCAGATACCAGGGGCCTATATTCTGCCCACAGTTGAGCTGGAGAAGATCTGTAGTCAAGAAGAGCAACTCAACAAGAGCCTTCTGATACCTAGAACTGCTTTTTATAATTCAATACAGGGAAAATGATCAGACCTCTTTGGGGCCTAGAAAAAAGCAGTATGATTACTTTCAAAAGCAAAAGGCTTTTGTGTACCTCATTGTATTCTGAGCAGATGCATTAATGTAAATAAAGTTCAAGTGCAAATCATGTCAGATAAGAAAGTAATTCCAGTGGTGAAAGTCATGCCTAATATAGCACCAGTAACATTTATGAAGTGGTAACAAGAACATATTTGAATCAATAAGCTGCACTCATGCAATAGTGTCACGTACTGTCAAATATTTTTAATATATTACTTGTAACAGCTGAAGTCTGTGCTTGGTTCCAGCAGGCTAAACCCAGAATAACTGAACCAAAGCCAATGGAGATACTTCAGATGTCACTGATTGGAACAAAGAACATGAATTTGCACTTAGCATTTATATAGTCCTTTTCATCTTCAAAGAGCAGCACAAACATTGGCTAGTTCTAATTCTCTCACAATGACCTTCATGCTAACCTTTTGGGATAAAAGTAATATACTATGAGAAAAAAACTGACAAGATGTGTAATCAAGCATATATCAAGCCTCAGATGTGTAAACTATCTCTGCCTTGCCTTGGCTTCTGTTTCTGCCTCATTGTAGATTTTATCTCATCAAAAATATAAGGCCTTTCACAATGGCTCAGATATTAATTCACCATACAATATATTTTACTAACATGAGATGATGGTAATAATCCTTGAATAACAGATTTACTACCATAGTTAGTTATAGGATACAGCTATTCCTTTTTAACAGATAAGGAACTCAAAATAATATTGCATCAAAAAATTTGCTGGAAGCTGTCATGGGACAAGCCAGGGACACACCTACATTGGATGTTGGGTTGCATGGCTTTGAGTTCCTACTCTTCAGTCATTCTGGGATGTTTTGTTTTGAGTTTGGCTTTTTTTTTTTTTTAACTCCTTCCAATTCAAATTAGGAATTTTGTAAGTCTCTTTTAGAAAGCCTTCTCAGAAGCAGCAGAAGCTTCCTTTATGTATCAGTTCTCTCTGTTCTCCAACCCAGACTTGCAATTTGATTATCAATTCTGGGTGGCTCTAAGCCCGAAATCCTGAACAAGTCCCTCATGTTCCAGTTGCTCGTGCACTTTATAGAGGAATAGATTGAAGCAGACAGTACTTATTTTCATGGTGACCCAGAACAGCTATTGTTACAAGAACACCTTTAATCTCCTGTTTTTGTTTTTGAATTGAATTCAAGTCAGGAGAGATGAAAGAATGCGTCTCATAAATCTGCTACTGCAGCTGGTACTTCTTAGTTTATCATATGCTAGCTCTAATTCTCTTTGATTCTTCTTAAAATTATTGCTTCTATTTCTTAATTACACAAACAAGCATTTGTTGCTATTTTTTTGACTACAAAAAACCTCCTCCCCTCTCTCTTTCTTATAGCTACTTCCTCAGGAAGAAACCACCAAACTTACTGCATTATGATGTCAAGGTATGAATTTAACTTCTCCCTTGGTAGGTTTTCTTACGCAGTGTACAAAGGAACAGCTAAATAATACTTCATTACTTACAGTTCAGGAAAAGACTTACAAAATAAACTGAAGAGTGAAAGAAGGATAAGGGTCATGCTGATATGAAGGGCATCAGTTGCACTGCAGTCCATTTTGGATTTCTTGCAGGAACACACTTGTAATTTCAGTTCTGTGGTGTTAGTCAGAGGTGGTTTTCCAGAATCTGTCACTGAGATTGGGATGTTGTAATTGGCCTTTTTTAGGTTTTGAAGCAGGATGACCTGGGCATGAGTATCTGCAAAGGATAAGGAGAGAATTACCCAAATAGTGGTTGTTTGGAAGGGAAGAGGAATCTGCAAACAATATCAGACATGCCACAGTTACTCATGGAAATTAAGAAGAAAATGAGAACACTCTAAGGAAAAGATTAAAGAACTGAATTGGAGGTAAGAAGAGGCAGTACAGAAATTCTTTAATGAGCTGAGAGCTAACTGCAAACTTATTCCAAACCCCCCCAAAAGAAAGACTTTTAAAAGCCCCTTTTGTTTAAATGCATTACTTGGTCTGCAAATTATTGTCAGAATTTCCCTGTGGAATCTAACACAATGACATGCTAAGGCATGTCATCCCCAGAGCAAAACAAGAGGGAAGAATATCTTTGCCAAAGGAAAAAAACCCTTCTTGCAAGAAAGTACAAGCAAAGCTGCTTAACTGCTTCCCTAGTTTGGCTGAGAAGGCAGTGAAGGGAAGTAATGCCTCTTCATAACAGCTGGGTCATAACAGCCATTGGTACCCAGGTGAGCGTGCTAACTCTTTAGGGGGTTTAACAAAGTGGTGGTTTGATGTTTGGAGAACAGCAAAGAAAATGACTCCTCCACTTAATCCTGCAGGCAGGTGCAGCTATCACATCCATCTTCAGGTTTTTTCTAAGAATAATTTGAAATGAACTGCTAAAAGATTCGATAGTGACAGAGATAAATAATACATGCTAGAAACCAATAAAAATAATCTACTTTAAAAAGAAATGCAGTACTTTGTGCCCACAATTTTCCGTATAAACCTTCTACAACTGAGTAGCATGTGCTTAGATCCTCTTACCAAAAGTGTGTAGTCCCAGTGCATTTGGATATTTTATTTGTGAAGAGTTCGAATAATGAAAATCAGGAAGTTTTTCAAGTACATTGCTTAAAGCCCATGCAAAAGTTTCATGCTGTCCTATAACAAAGCCTTGTGCATCTGATGCAAACAAATTCCAAGCCATGAAATCTTTACAAAACTATTAAGTCATTAGCAGCCTTTCTTTAATGCAAAGCTAAAAGAGAAAAGTTTGGTCAACATAATAAGAGGAAAAAAGTTCAGATTTCAGAGAAAATGCAGAGAGACTATTAGTATGTCCCACCAGGCAGCTGGTCCAAGCAAAAACAGCAGAGTGTAAAGCAGCAGCAATGGGTCCATCCTGTAAGACACTCATGCATAAGTGCTCCTGACTTCACATAATGAGCAGCCTCAGGGTGAGTATCCTGGGATGTAGAGGTGGGAGGACTAAATGCATAAAAAAAAAAAAAGACTTACTGTTAAGCTTGGTGATTCTCCACAATTTTTCTGGACCAGATTGCTTACTTAGTTCAAATTTGAATGGATCTGTGTTGGGATGAAGGTCTTTGTCTGATGCTCCTAGCACCACTACCTTGAGATCTTTTGCATCATCACAAACTTTTGCCAGTGTTGGATAAAGGGATGGGACATTGTCATTGACATCCTCCAAGGTGATGTGTAAAGTTCCTGTACCAGTAGCAGGAGGGTTACCTATATGAAAAAAAACAAACATATATTTACTAAATCATACTTCCATGAACACTTACTCTTATGTGTACCCGCATGCTTGCAAAGGGAAATATTTTTTACGGTTCTTACCTCTCTTATATGAAAATTATTGCTTTATAAGACTGATGAGTCACTATTTTAAATTCATTGCTCTATTTTCAGAATGCAGCCTGTCTGATTCTCTACAGTATGGATAATTATTCTAAGAAAACCTCTGAGAGAGGAATATTTAGAAGTTAAAATGAGATTAGGACACAAATAGGTATCTGGAAAAGAATCTGTTCATAAACACATACTGAGAGCAACATAGTAGGAAACATTCCCTAGATAGACAGCATGGTATTAAAAGAATGAAGAACAAGACAAGAGGAAAAATGACAGCAGAGAGGAATCAATTTGTATGGTGGGTGCCCATAAAGAGAACAGGACCAGATCATTCCCCAACAACCCTTAGGGCCATATTTAGTTTTGTCAGCAGAAGTGAAACTTGTCAACATTGCAACTCTGGAAAATGAGATCTTTTATTTACCCAGAGCCACCCTGTGTTAGCAGTGGGGTTTCAAGCTTTCTCAAAGGATTTGCCAGCCTTCCTCAGCCCTGACCTGAAAGAACCAGCTTCAGAGGTGAGGATGTTGTTTATTCACCATGGTACCACTACAAACCTCTGTGCCAAGGCTGTGACTGACAAACCAGCCCTGGTGCTGGAAGTGTTTGTAACAGAGATGCCTGCCCCGCTGGGAGCTGGACTGCGAGTAGCACCTCATTTTCCAGAGGTCAGAGAGGAGCTGACGAGTGGTAATAACTTTCAGTCACTACAGATGTGTGCCATGGTTGAGCCAGTAACCCACTGCTTTCAGTTAAAAGCTCAATATCTTATTACAAATCCCTTTGCCAGCCCATTTAAACTGATCTCCAAGTTTTCTAAATGCACATTGCTTCCTTCGTTGTGTAACATACTTAATAATTTCTCATTTGAAACGCTGCACTTCTGGGTTGTTTGCGTTACTCCTTTTTCTGGTTTAGTACACAAGATCTATGATCTCTGCACTTCCATTAGCTATAGACCCTCAGCAGGTAGAAAGGATTCCAGAGGCTGCACTTAACCTGTAAAGCAGCAGTGCAATGTGTCATGGCAGTTTTAGGTTTAGCACTGAAAGAGCTACACTTTAGCGTAATTACCCTGCCTATAGCAGCCCAATAAACTACGGAATTATGGCTGCACTGTGAGTGCATCCTAAGGGAGAAGTAAATACCCTGTGGTCTGGATCTGATAAACTACTAACTGTAGCAGAATGCAATTAGTCCTTTCAATAACAAATGTTACTAATGGTGACACTTCATCTGTTTCATGCACGCATAAATGCATAACAAAGGCAGAATTTTCATAGCTCTTTTGCTTCGCCCCCCCCCCCCCATCTTGCGCTTTGTCATCAGAAGGGTTAGGGTTGAGTTCTTTTTAATGAAAAAGAAATTATTTTTCACTTTTTATTGGACTAATTGAATTTGCAGAAAGACTCCAATACGTTTTTTGTTCTTGATATATTATTAAGTAAAGTCATACGGCAGAATGGATGAAAAGACATTCGAGTATTTGAAATATGATCATAAAAGCCAGCCTTTCATGCACTTAATTAAACTGCTGTCTTTAATTTTGAATGCATTATTTCCACACTGGACTGATAATGTCTTATGCACTACCCTTGTTATCTTTCTCTGAAGTCAGTAATATTAAAATCTGCCTTTTGAAATTAAGAAGCCAACAGCATTATGAATGTACTGTTATTTTGTCAAACACAGATATGGCTGCTTTTTCTCTGCCATGCTAATGTTTCACTATCTTTGTATGGCTTATGGGCCAGTCAACTATTACGCACAAATAGAGAGAAAGAAAATTGCTTCTGTCCTTTTCAATGACTTATTCTCTGGTTGGTTTATTTATAATGATTTAAACAAAATCTTTTGGTGATTTATGAAGACCTCCAAAAGAAAAACAAGCAAATGCCAAGGTCATAAACTGAAGCTTGTTAACACCCATGTCATAAAAAAGACAACAAAAAATGAATCAAGGAAAAATGGTCACAAGATATCCATTGGGAATATATGACTTTTATAAATTTATGACTTTTATAAATTTGACAGTATTATGCTTTTGAAATAATCCTCCAGACATCTTTGGTTTTGAAATGAAAGATTTCCATAGCATATTTTAATTCTGAAATAAAACTTCTCTTAATTCGTATTGTAAAACCTTCCAGATGAAAGCAGAATTAACGTGTAAACCAAGACATAAAGGGCTGTGTCCAACAACCCTTGGGAGCAGCTTTTCAAAAGAGCTCAGCTCCCATTTTTGTCACTGAACTGAATTGGCCATTTCTCCTGAGGCTGAGCACTTTAAACCTTTAGGTGCCTTTAGAGCCCTTGGGGATAGAGATAGTTTCAAAATCCTGCTAAGGCTCCCACTCCCACAGTGGCATAGCTGTGAGTATGCTATGGCAAACATACAAATGAAATAGCATTACTCATGTGTGTAAAAGCTACTAAAAAAGAGACTGAAGGATGGCTAATGTCATACTGGAAGAAAGTGAAATCTTGGAATTGAACCTTGATTTTACTAATCTGAGACACGATTGAGAACCTTGACAAGTAATCTTCAATGAGACCAAAATGTAAATAAGAAAGATCTTTCAAGTTAGTTAGGGCCTGTGGGACTGGAACTTTGATCAACACCACTAAAAAAGTACAGATTCATCTTAGAACATGCTAAAATCGGAAATGTATCATACACTTATCTGAATTGGATCAGGGCTGGTTATGTCTTCGTATCCTGGCATTAGACTGCATACAAAGCTTCTAATAGCAGTCTTCAGCTAGGCAATAGCTACTGCTGCTGTAAGATGCAGCAAGGGAAAAATAGCCTAACAAAAGTAAATCTATTTCCTGAGTTAGAGAATGCCATAGAACATGATGGGGTCTATTGTCTGGGAATGCAAGGGACTGTTACCAGAAGATGTAGATGTTAAATTGGATTTTAGTGCTATCAGCATAAATGACCACATTGATACTTTAAAAAAAAAAAAAAAAGTTTCAAAAGAAATATTATGGAAACCAATACTTTGTATACTTCTGTATACTTGAATTTTAATGAAAAGCCATGCAGAATCATATTAGAATTATTAAAGTCTTAAATTATAAGCCCTCTGTAGAAACAGATGTCCAAGAAATTTGAAAACTGGCATTCAATTTTGGTCCAAAAAGTTCTCGTAGGAACCATGATGGCATTTAGACATCTAACTACTCAAATGAGACTGCCAATCAGGCAGTTAGTTTCTTATAAGATACTAATTACTCACAATGATGGCCATGGACTAAGATGACATTTCTTTTAAGTATCAAGACTTGCATAAAATGGCATGTCTAACAAGCAATCAAAGGATAGAACGGCTGATGCATTTAATCTGAGCATAACATCTTTATGGACTGAAGAGCCATTTCATGTTCCACTTTCTAGTAGAACAAGGATTATCAAACACAAAAAAAGTGCATTTTCATTTGCTATATGAAAATGGACTTTGAATAAATTAGGTTAAATTCAGTTTAATTGTAAATAATATAATTTGTTTAGTGGCACAGCTAAGGAACAAAGCATTGATAATCAACTAACAAGAAAAATGCCAAACAAATCAAAAAGTGCCAAGACTGGGAGATGATGAGACTCCATTTTTTAACTTATATTTAGAAAGTTCACCTAATTATATCAAAAGCTAAACATAGGAATTCTTCTGTCTTTAGAACTCTAATTGTTTGTATCTTGGTCATTACAGCAAAGAAATATTGATGTAAATGACTTTACATAACAAAATGCAATTAGAAACAAATATGAAAAAAAAAATTAATGTCAACTTCCTTTCCCCCCCCC